GTGGTCAACCCGAAATCTGTTGCAGTTCAACGTGGACAAATGCAAGGTACTCTCCATGGGACACCAGAGTACCTATTCCTACAAGCTAGGAACGAAAATACTGCAGCGATCATCCGTCGAAAGCGACTACGGCGTGCTTGTTTAGAATAACTATGGTTGATCCAGACAGTCCGCAAAGACATCGAAAACTTTTAACTAACACGTCGACTTGCTATGACGGGCGTTCGGACAAGTAGACATCTCTATTTTCCGACATGCTAAATATGTATGTTCGTCCCCATATAGAATACACAATGTAAGCCTGACAGCCATACCTGAAGCACGATCTTATTGCCCTTGACCCACCTTAAAGTCAGGGCTTCTAAATACATGATTGGAATGTGCAAGCTTCCATACGAGCACAGGCTGAAACGTTTGCTAGTATTCATCGGGTGTAATCGCCGAGCAGGAGTAGACTTGATTATGGAGTACTTAATTTTGTACAATCCAAATCATGTGTGTCGTTCTTTCCTACTGCTCGATAGTAACACAAAAATTAGAGGCTACTCCTTGAAATTAACAGAACAGTAAAGCAGTCTGGCGTATCGCAGAAATTTCTTTTCCATTCAAGTGCGTCAAACATGAAACATTCTCCCCGAATCAATTGTTTCCACATCTAGGCTAACCATATTTACAAGTCGGTTGGATGATGCACACGGTAACTTGCATTTTCTTGTTTGATGCTACTTCTATCCTAATCCCGGAAAATGCATTGCTTATACTTTTCGCTTGTTGAAGCTATGGCAACACTTGGAGTGCATGGCTATCGCATCACATACGATAAGTCCATTCGTTTGACAATAGAACGACTAACTGCATTTCTTCAATAAAGTTTCTCGGTAACCTACCAGACTCTCAAACGAGGCTTGTAAGCAGTGCTTCTTAACGCGTATTAAATGAGCGTTTATTGTTCATTAGTGTGCTGATCACAAGTTGGCAATGCTTTCAACCCGAATGAATAAAAGTGAAACCAAAAGCCTTGTCATCGATTTATCCCGAATGGCAGCTTACCGAGCTCTTGAATATGTATATTGTTGAGAGTAGCTGTGTGCGATTCAAATCTGCACCAAATGTTTATACACACAGAGGCGTTTCTTGCAGAGACTGACCTGAAATTTCATAGGAAGAGTCACTTGTTAAATAAAGCAAATAAATAGATATTCATTATTAGTGGGAGAATGTCATGCTTCACGTTACAGGAACTACTCGCATTTGCTTGCAGTAGCTTATTAGGGGACAAGATATGGTGCCCGTTTGGTTATATGATACTGCTAGCGTGGTACTTTAGCATGCTGTTTAGGGATCTGGTGTGCGCGCATACGAAATGGTGCAGGCTAAGAGAATACTTTCCGGGACCGTAGCAGCCGATAACCAATTCGCATACTTATACGGGTCATAAGATCTTCTGACAATGGAATTACTGGCCTTATTTCCGCACCTCAGTTTAACTTTCAACCTGCTGCTAATGGACTTCACGGGACCCAACGAGTGAAGATTCACAATTGGATTGGTGTAAAGCCATCGCGGATGCTACAAACTCTCAGCTTCAGTAGCGTCAGTGTAGATCAATTGATCTTGCATTTGCGCTTAAAAGCTCTAAAAAGGAACTGTTTACGAGTCGCCTCTCTGCATTGAGAAGTCCTAACTTCCAACTATCTTGTGACATTTTAGGCACGTTACATCATAATCCCCCTAATAATTGCCTCTACTCGGAGTCACTAGTGTATCAGCTAAAACTCACATACAGACGAATAAAAGCTAAGTAAGGTGAAACAGTGCTAACTGGTTACAAATGCATCACATTTACAATCCATGCCTTGCTTAATTTCATGTGAAAGAATGTGTCTGGGTGTCCCCGTTCTTCTTAGCAAAGATATCTGTATCCTCCCACGCTTTTATCGCTTTCCAGCTTATCCAAATTGCTAGTAATTGCAAGCTGAGGACAAAACGGAAGAATGATCATACTTACTATTATTGCAAGTGGATTCGTACGAAACTAATTACAAACACTTCTATGTGGTCTGGCTCCAGTTGTACTAAAAAGCAACGTGTAACCGTTCCGTTCCTTTATTACCTGTCAGTAACAGTGATTATCTTTTCATGACGGGTAGTCTGAATTTGGAAACCCAATCGTTTGAACCCAGGCAGACCTATATCAGAGTTTGGCATTACTCCTTAGGATGCATTTTCGCGGCGTTTACGAAACAAAAGGCGTTTGTAACACAAAATACTTCAGAACGAATAATTCAGATGCCTGGCTTTTCCAGAGTAACCGTAAACCACCATGTGCACTAAAGATAAACCCTTACTATTCAATCACCGGGATAGTATCTTAATGTGGCAAATGTTAAGTGTATCTCGTTGTTCCTAGCTCAAGGCATCAGTGTGGGGTTGTAAAGTTGCTTCATGTTTCACGAGTGCACGTCCCAGTCCAGTTGTCTTATCTGAAGCGCCGAAAAACGCACGAGACAGATGGTAAAAAGCATAGTTGCCTACGGGCTGTAACACGAAATATATGGCTGTTGAATACTGTTGGGTATCTAGCCGGTTTTCTGAATAGACACCCAGTAGTGATTAATTCTACTTAAATTGGTCAATTATCATTGAGCTTCAGCAATCGACGGCCTGCTTGTGCGAATACTGAAAACATATGCGTAGTACATTGTCTTTGTTTGTCTACTTTCCGTGAACAGCAATGATTGCACAAATTGTTGAGGACACGGTACTCTGGAGTAATATCCACAATGATCGACACACACAATGATCAACAGTTTCCATTAAGTGGGACTGATCAGTTATGCCCAAAATCTAGAAAACTCGTAACTGTTCGAACCAAGACGTTCCATTGTGATGCAGCGAATTGTACTGCTGACGGAGATTGCCGCAAGTGACAAAGCTCTGCATACATGTGTGTTGTTCCCGTGTGAGATATTGGCTAAGGCGCAACCGGATGAGGAGGAATTTACACCTGTCTTTGAAACATTTCTACATCTAGTTGTCCCGAGACAGTCACAACTACTTGCTGATCTGCACACTTTCTTCCCAACAAAATCGTTTAGCGAGTGATATAACCACAGCAACGCCAATCCCGTTATTATTCCATACACATGTTACTTAGTCGTCAAAGTCGGTGTACCTTGGCGGGATATTTGTGTCTGACTTGAAGGGGCCATCATCCTGTAAGCACGACTTTAGTGGGTTACGCACATCGCATCAATAAAACTCCCACTGTTCATGAGGTTGGATCAGTATAATGTATATTCACCAACCCACCGTTGAGTATTCTAGAAGAAATGTGGTCTCACTCCGAAATAAGTGTAGATCCCACCTACGACTTTGCGCGTGTATCTTACGATGTGCGTACATTGTTGTGTTAGACTGATATTTTTTTAAAAATTTAAACCTACACACTCGGTACTGACGTTCATTGGATGTGTCTTTCAATACTCACAAAGTAAAACATAGGAGCAGGTGTCAGTACCCAAGGATAACCATAAATGCCTATTATCATAAACTTTGTCTTAAACGACGCTTGCGACATCTTTTTACGTTTCAGTTCAAAGATTTCCCCTTCTTCAGACTGCGGAAATGCATAGAAAGAATCCGATTAACTGGACTGATTTGGCTTTACTTGTTGCATGCATTAATCCTGTTAGTCATCGTTCATGGTCTATAGTTCATTTCAATTTGCAAATTCAAGTTGTACTTTGCATTTACCAATGCAATACCTGAATTACAATCTCATTGTGTTTACCACATAGTTCTCTTTGTTTCTTCCGTGCTTACAGTACGAGGACGATTTGTTGAGCCGATTAGTACCTACCAATTCTCCCATGATATATTTGTTTGATATCTGGGTGCAAATCAGACCAACATTTCTTGCTAAGGAGACACACCCAGTGTGTACAAACTGTTCTGAATACAAACTATACAAAATGATCGCAGTTCCTAGAAATAAATTATTATCATTATTAATACATCCCAGTTAAAACAACGGTAACTTTATTATAGTTTGAATGAGTAGATGAAGCTAGTTAACAGAGGAAAAAGTGTTTCCAAGATCTGCGATCTTTGCAACTTACGATCCACGCTTATGTAATCAATCAGGATATATAGTTTTCTTCAACAAAGATGTGTATACTGAGGATGAGTAATAATAATAATTCTTTTGATTGCAATAATCTACTAAACTAAGCAGAGTAGAAGATATCATATCTTATTTTCATTATTCGGTAAATCGAAAGTTCTTATTAGCATATATCTAATCTCCAATAAAGTTTACAGTGTGTGGCACATCTCTCTTAATTTGGCAGACTTATTACACGGAAGTAGTAAAAAGAATGTAATTTCATTTTCTGACTATACATTGTTTCCCGAAAATTTAGTCAAATACAGCGCTAGAGAAACCACACTAACAGACTAGAACGCGGATGTGGGGAAGAGAATCATGACTAATGCTCACCAAGCGCCACTAATCTTTAGTCTCGCAGTTGGAGAATCCCTTTTTCAATGTCAGCATTCAGAACCCACTCACCGGGGCGTTCACTATCAAATTGCAGCAGCTTTATGCAATTAATCCTACTAGTTGAATCTAACTTGTTTGGGTCAATCGTGGAGTCAACTCTAAAAATTCTTTGCTCCATGAGAGGTGGGCTTGCATATTGCTTTAGACTCTCGGCCACCACGACTGCATCCTAGCCAAATTACCTTTTTGAGAACTGCTCGGTGCAGTTGTTGCGCATGCGGACTAGTCATATTTGTTTGTTCGCACAAGTAAAACATACGTCTGTTGTAAATACCTTCTGTCTTATCCCACCATTCCCAATAGCATAGATATCATATCCGGTTTATTTCTCATTGGTTCCCGGCGCGCATAATTTTTGGCCAACCGCTTTGCTTGAATCGTCACATGTAAACTTGATAAGAAAATATGGTCCAAATATATTGTGGTCATAATTCAGGTTGAGGTTCACACAAGTCTGGAGTGAGTACATATGCTGCCTACTATTTTGTGAAGGGTACATTATTTGTTTTTGTAAAAACCTCCCTCTACTTGCTAGTATTAGTCATCCCACCTGGTTTAAGTTGCTTGATTTGTGTACTGTAGCAGTGTATGTTTGAGACTATCAGTGATGATTTGAACTGATTCCGATTCAACAGGCGCGCGTTATTACGGTCATACAATCGGTTCCTTCACTATACTAACCAATATGGGTGAATAAATACAAACTACTTAACCTGTTTCATGGTGCTAGCATTTCCTGAATAAGGGAAATATTCGTTCCGTAGAATGTCTCCGATCTGGTTGGTCATCATAAATGCAGCAGGGTTGACGACTACGTTTCCAATTCATTTTATATATTGTTTGTTCTTACATGTGCACGAAGTCGTCCACATTTTTGTAGTTAGAGCCAATGTTGAATTCCTACTTATTACAGATGGCTTTGTGGGTCTTACATCGTGGCACAACTGACTCGACATCTTCAGCAACCGTTCCCATAACAGTCTGAATCGATATTTAAGTACAAGTCAGATGCTGACTTGTGTGTGATGCAGGTAGCCATTGCGTTAGGTGTGACATATTGACAGTGAAAACGGCCGATCATCACCAACAGGTGTATGCATAGTTTATGCAGCGTTTAATTTGCTTCACTAAAATAGCGAAATTAAACTACACCAAGTACAACGAGGTTCCACCAAGCATGGAGCAATCTGTTGGAATAACCATATTTGCTATCATTTGCTTTTAGTTGGGTGGGATTGCGACACATTCGTATCTTTGTTCTAGCCGCACGATAGCGTTCAAATGTCGACTTGTCGGTTCTGTTCATTTGTGTTACAAACACGCTTTTATTTGTTAATTCTTTTCAGCAGCTATCTATCGTCAGTTGAAAATGTGTACTCGCTGTCTCTTGTTTTGTGCCTTCTTACTCACGGTGCGGCTCACGACGAGTCACACACTAAATCAACCTCCATGTGAGTGGCATCTTTGTAATGAGATACACGTATGTCACCAATTTGCATGATTTTACCGAATATTCCTTTTCCTTAAGATCAATCAATGGAACTCGGTAGGCTAACACAGGGATGCTAGAGAGAGCGGTGATTTTTGTTACCGGGTGATTACACATAGCAATGGCCTACTGGGTAAACAGGAACCGGTACCTTACTCAAAGAGCAATGAAATTTTTCTCGGATGATACGATTGCACAGGAGCACGTAAATATAAGGGAACGATTTCTTAACAATGGCTACCTCAAGTCATTCATTGACAGAAACATGCTGTCTGATGCACAAGGTGTTAAAATATCTACGGCAGAAATGAACAACCTCTATTTATCTTTGTCTTTCACTGGCGATAATACAGCCACACTTATTAGCAGAAAACTCCGAGGTGCTATCATGAAAACCTATCTCGCAGGGTAGCTACGAATTTTATTCGCTTGCACGCCCGTCTTAACTCTACAACTGAGGGATAAGCTGTCTGTGGATGTCCCCTCCTTGTGTGTGTATCAATTTACTTGTTCCTGTGGAACAAAGTACATAGGCCGCACCACAAGACGTTTAGTCTAACGTGCACGAGAGCATCACCCAGGTTCGTTTGGTAGGGAAGTAGACAAAATTTGCACCACTGCGATTGGCACACATCTGTCCGATACTAAGCACCGGTTGTGGCCACAAAGTCCGATCCAAACTGATCACATGCCGCGTACTTGCTATGGCAGAGGCGATCGCCATCCGTCTTCATCACTCTCCTCTATGTGTGCACTAACAATTTGTGATGACCCTAGCTCTTCCCTGGCCAGCTGTAGCACACTCAATCGTGTGTACCATACGAAACACCGCTGTCACATCTACCTCTTACCCCACGCCTAATACTTACTTTAACCTGTTCTATGTTAGCAATTTAAATATGTTGATGATGAATCATCGAAAACGAGCTTGTTTGCTAGAATGACGTTTCACGAGTACCCAGGGAATTATTCACCATCTAAACAGAAAAGTTTATTAGGTTTTCGGTTCATTCTTCTGTTCTGTCTATTTCAACACTAAATTCACAGACTGGGAACCACCAGCTCAAGATTCTGAACCTGCGCCGTACCGTAATGCTATGGGAGAATTGGAGAAACGCTATATCCGCTTTGGAAAACGTCCGTCGGACGAAATTCGTGCACAGAACCGAGACTCACCATACAAACTAGAGTTCTCGCAATTCCCAAGGCAGCCAATCGATTTTATACGGTTTGGATGAATTGGAGATTTTGATGTGCATCAGTGTGCTTTCGCAACAGTATCCAGAGAATGAAAGCATTTTATAAAACTGGCGGTCTGTATTACATTTTCTGGGCTCTGATGCGTCACATTGTGTACCTTCTATCACTACAACTTCTTGATTGAATACTAGGAGTAGATGGCATCGCAGTGAGCTTCTTATTCAGCTTGGAGGTCGACGTAATAATTTACATTAAGCCACAGGTTCGAGCCATGCACTACTGATATCAGTCCCTCTTATGGAAACTATTCTGGGTAGCATTTCCAAGAAAAAGCTCACACTGCTCATTCCCATAGGTCAACGTATTTTGTTTAAAAAGTAAATGCGCAGTTGCATTACCTCAATTCTATAACCGACTTGAAACTTGCCCATGAACTATCAGGAATAGCTCAATCACTGTTGGACAGCAAATTGCACCACCCAGAGTTGTGAGTTGGCTTCCAGTTACACCCGCTCCGCAGCTATCACTGACTGGTGATTATGAGGTTATTCTTATTTTATTATGTGTGCAGTGGTAAGGCAATAATGCGCAAACAAAACCAAACGCCGGACTCAAACAAGCAAAACTGCACCTCCGAAGAAGAACTGGAAGATGACTTTCTCCTCTCGAGAATCATACTTTGTGAGTCTAGAACAGGCGATTCTACTATTATGACTTCTCGGCTAAGTTCGTGGGGCCACGGAGGACGTTAGCCCCCGATAACTGAGTCCTTAAGTGTATTATAGAACGCACATAATGTTTACGCCTCCAGCTCCAAGAATTCCTGTAACAAATCCACCAAAACCGACAGCCAGTACGCTGCTGAACGTGCTTCACGTAGGGGAATGGATTTCAGGCACACACCCATTAGAGTTGTACTCGAATAACATCGGATTCATTTGCGAGCTCTGTGAAATCACTAACCTGCTTAAATGGATACATTGTTCGATCACCATACATAGACTCTGTGGGCAGTATTTGTGATGGTTACAAAGATTCATGGAACATGTAAATTCCTCTGCGGAGAGGGGGCAAATTACCCTATGTTGTTTGGGGAAAAGTCGCACGCATGTATGGCATGATTATCACTGGTGCGCATCATCCGGCTGCTAAATGTCTAAGAATTTGTCCGTTGATGTATAGAAATTGTTGAAGGTACGGTTAGTGCATATTATAGTGAATGGTATTTACAAAAGAGTTTAGACTGAAAGTCACTTAACAATAGGTTGTATACATACTTTAGTTTTAAGTGGCGCAAGCTTTTCCATCTGAAACGCTCAGTGTTACATGAAGTTGATGTTTTGATAGAAATCACCTGAATGAATGCGTTGCACACAGACTTTAGTACTCAATAGAGTGCAATCCTGAGAGGACTAATTTTAGCACACCATGAAGGCGAAATATTTTTCCTAGGTCGACTGCCACTCAGAACACGCTGGTCCATTCTTCGAATTCGCACGATAAGAGGACCTTTGTAACCTTTTGTTTTGCTAATTTTCTTCTTACCTTCTTTTTACGGCTGCTTTGCTCGCTGTTTCAGTAAACTTTTAAATAATGAAGCTGCCAAGACTACGGCATCTTTGTCTTTGCGGTGTCCCTTCTGCTGCCTTGGGATTACTAATTCCAGATGGACACACAGCGTCACTAATCTCAATTGCGGACACCACACATCGCGTGGTATAAACATAAGGCTGGGGGTTTCAAAGTCATCTGTGATTTAAGAAGCAGATCTACCGTAAGAATTTGCGGCCATGGTTGAAAATGAAGGTATGAGGTCATGGTCTATTGCCGTTGAAATTAGAGGGGAAATGCAATCCAGAATCAGTATATGCTGAAGCTATATAAATGTGACGACGGCCTACAAATGCGTTGGGTGCAGTTGAATTTGTGGGAACTTGGATGACATTAATGTCAAAACTATCCTGTGGCTCATTCAATTAAGTAGCAATAAAATATTCTGGTTAAATACAAAGTGGTTAAGCTGCCAAATCCAGCAGTACTAAAAACTGTTTGTAGTAGAGACTAGTGTTGCTGATTTACTGAAATCTTGTCCAAACAATATGGCCCGAAAGAAAAATCGTACTCCTTTGACTAGGCTGATGCAGTATTCATTAACCAGCACTGGTATTGAATACCAACGTTAGGGGCTTGAAAAATGTGCGATCGCATGGCTGGACGCGATGTGTACAAGCTGATGGCAATATTAGCATAATAGCATGGCTATTAGATATCATGTTTACAGCTGCAAGAGTTCTGTGACTCGGGACTATCCAGAATTGACAAACAGGTCCTGTTATGGAAGGCGAAGGTCCAAGTAAGAAAGGCTTATGGCATTTCGTAATTCGCTCAGCATCGGATCATTCATTATTTGAGCACGAGGCAAATGAATCTGCAGGTGCTCATTTACGCAGGTTGGGATCCCATTGTTACTTCGGGAATAGGAACATCCCTGCTATGTTTGTCTCCAAAACATCAAAAACACAGATGGCGGTCAAGTTTTCTCCGTTCAGAATTTGTCCTTTTTTCCTGATGCGCTTACCTTTCTGAGCCAAACTTTTGCTGACCTTTGGACAAAATAGCAGTTGAGTTAAACCAGTAATTTTGAAGCCACATTCCCATGTACCTCTGCAAAGATCCAGTTAGCAATTGCCTTGACAATAGAACAATGGTGTCTTACGAGCAAAAAGCAAATACTCAGAGAGTCACGCAGCATGGCCAGAATGAGACCGCAGAAATGGCGCGAGGAAAACACATTGATAAGATGAAAAGCGTTTCGGTGAACTCACCGTAGTGTGTGAATTGAGGCGTGTGTAAAGCAGCCTGTTTCCATTGCATAATGCAATGATTGTTGGTTCATATTCTTCACGTTATGTCGTAGATCGACGCACACAGGCTATACCTCGTAATGTAGGTAAGTTAATGCAGCGACAAGACGCTATCTAAACATAGAGAAATTGCGGATAATAACAAGGTAATTAGGAAAAGGGTTCTAGCGGACTGTATTGCATGAGCAACTAGAGGTGATGCCCCCCAACTTCGTGTTGTTGCTGAGTTGCAATAGCTGACGGCTGAGTGGTTGGCGCTACGCGGAATCTGGTATGTGATGAATAAATCAGTGGATGGGCGCCGATACTGAGTCTTCGTTGATATCGAACGTGGAACGCTTCTTTGGCTTGCTTGGTGGCTTTTCGCTGCAAATTCTTGAGTACTGCAGCATCTTGCTTCTAACAGGGGTGCCAATGCCGGATAGCGTATTCCACATGAGGCCTCGTAAATGTGCCACGTACCTGTGAACAGATAGATCAAATAGCTTGAATGTCCTCCACAGAATACCAACGTCTTGTCTCGCAGTTCTTGACGCTATTTTAGATTTTGCTGTGCAACCCAAATCAGCCTGGATTTTACCCCGACGTCGCGGCTGGATGACTGCAGACATGAGGTAATCTTCAAGAAGGTAGCTGATGCTCGGCTGGTGATGAATGCGCACAACCTTACAGTTGGACGAAGGAAACTGGGGCGGATTGTGGAATGACTACTCATACGCCCTGTCCAGGTCTTGTTGAAGTGCATCAGTCTCTCTTTGGTCATTGAGCACCTGCCACCTCTTAACAACATCTGTGAAAACAAGACATGCGAGGCGACCAGGTGCGTAAGCTCATTAATGAACATGAGTGAAAGATCCAGCTCTAGAATTGATCACTGTGAACCCGCACATCCGACTTGTAACCGATTGATTAGTGCATTCCAAACTCTAACCCGCAGTTTCCGGTTCTGCAGGAAATTCTTGAGACATCCAAGAACAGTTTCCCCAACTCCATGGCTTTCTAGTCTGTGAAGCAGTATGCATTGGTCCATGTGGTCTAGATCTTTAGAGAAGTCTCTTCGTCCCTTTGTCAGCCACTTTTGTCCAAAATACGCGTATAAATAGTAGGTTGTTTTTGCATGATCGGTACAAGCGGAAGTCGCGACCCTCCATTGCTATGAATTGGTGGGGATTTGGATGATTGTCTAAAGTCTTAGCGATGTTTGCTTCCATCATCTTCGAGAGCGCAGAGAGAAGGATCAACGTGTAATAGTTTGCAAGTTCCGATAGACTGAAAATTTTAAGATCGGGTGGGTTTATTCTATGTTTCCACCTGGTGGGCATCAGTTATTTGGAGAAGTGCGCCTGGAAAAATTTAGTAATGGCTCAGCCATCTTGTTGCCGTTAAGTTCAATGCTCTAGTGTGAATGTTATCAAGTACGGGCGAAATAGAGATGTGCGATGAGAGCAGTTTCCTCAACACATTTATGGTGGTAAGCGTGGTATAAATAAGTGCAGAAATTAAGGCGATGGATGTATGTACTATTGGCTGATGTCTCCTTGGAAGATAGTGGCATGCTACATTCGTAGAGCATTGGTTGCTACTTTTGTGCTCTGCGCAACTCCGACTATCGTGTTGAGTGGAGGAAATTTCTATTTGACTTTGTCAATAGCGTTATCATGCTTATAAAAATTTCCATTTTTAGAAAACTTACATCTTAATTATTGTTGGTGGACCACTTTTTCCTTATAGATAATCGAAATACACAGGTAGATCTAGGGCAAATAGACGCTCTTGCTTTCCGGACTAGGATGGGCTCTGTAACTATGCCAATCATTATTTCGTACTGACATACGCTTTCGAGTTCTGCTTATGATGAAGGACGAAGGGTTGGTGACACTAACACACTTAGTCCCTGAAGCAATTACGATCGGGCGGTAAAATATCTAAAAAAACAAAATTCAGGCGCTCAGGGGTGCTATCTTTCAAGAGTACTTAGTCGGTTATCGCAACTAGACGATGCGCTTTGATTCACTGCATTTTCCCGGGCTTCAGCTAACACAGTTGGTTGTAAGGTATTGTAACATGATCGCTTAACATTAGTATAGTGTGTATTATTGGTCAGTTGATCGTTCTATCCCCACTTGTAAGTAGGAGGTCTAGTATTTTTGTTGGTCATCATCTGGTAGGTTAAG